GCTTTGTTTATTTGCACCTCTCCATCTAGTCCTTAGAAACCAGCACAGAAGAAGCAAGCAGCCCTGGCACAGATTTATCCGTAAAATTTTACATTTTTAAAAAACATTTCTGTGCTCCTGAGATTTTAGGTTTTTTCCCTATGTTCTTCTGCAGCCTTAGGAAAGGCAAGAGAGCAATCTGAGGGCAGCTCTGAAGGCCAGCAAGTCTAACCCCATGCCTCAGCAGGAGATTTCTGTATGTTCGAGGGCAGTTTTAGGGCAACTCTGGGTGTGACAGACCGCCAGAGCTGCGGGCTCTGAGAGGTGCCTGAGTGAGGCGATTCTGCTCTGACCCCGCAAAAGGCCAAAGGCAGCTGGAGAACGAGCAAATCCCCAGCGCAGGGGAGCTGTGTCTTTACCTGTGTGAGGGACGGGGCACCCGCCGCGCTCGGCAGCGGCTCTGGACGGTCCCTGGACAGCTCTTCCCCCTGGGGCTCGGCTCCGGGAGGAGGAGGAGGAGGAGGAGGAGGAGGCAGAGCCCGCCATGGCGAGGGGAGGCTGGGGAGCTCGCTGAGCCGTTCCCGCCGCCGGCGGAGCTCGGCGGGGCGGGGAGGNCGGGAGCCCGCTGAGGTGCCCAAGCCGGCGGGGTGGTCGCAGCCGCCCCCCGAGCAGAAGCAGAACCAGGCGGTTCTGGGGGTCCGCCCCAGCCAGGCTGGGGGTTGGAGTGGGGGCACTTGTCTCACGCCTTGGCTCCCTTCCCCCTCCGAGCTGTGCACTTCCACACAACTCGTTTTGTGTTATTTACCTAAATACCTGACCAGGGAGGGAAAGCCGCTGCTTCCCGTGACGCTTTAGTGCGAAGCACATCCATCTCGGACATCTGTTCAGGGCTCACTCACCTGCCGCCCACAAAGGCAGCTGCCATTTTAACCCTCCCCACTGCCCTGTCCTCCACAACGCCTCCAGGCTTCCACGCAATTGGTCTCCATCTTTTAATTTCATCTTTTGGCTTCCCTTAGCCTCTCTGTTGCCTTTTCTTCCCTTACCATTTTGCTTCAGCGTCTAGGAGACCCTTTTGTGTTCTCAGTCTTCATCCATAACCCCTTTACACGCAACTCCCTCTATATCCTATTCCCTGCCCGGCTTCCCGAAGCCTGTGCCTGCTCACAAATCGTAGACACGAAGTAGAGGAGTGAGGGGGAAAAGCATTCTTCACCTTCCCGAGAGGTTCCAGTGGTGCTGGGGCTGGGGACAGCCCTTACTCAAGGGGTACCCTCACTGTCACTGCCAGTGGCTGAGGACAGACCTTGTGCCTGCCTCAGGGCAGTCTGGGGCTTCAGCTCTCACGAGTGAGGAAGTTTGATTATGGTTCGAACAAAGAAGTTTGGTTACAGAAGATTTTAATTTGTGCCCACTATGACAGAGCTAAAGGTGAAAGCTGTCCCTTTTGGCATTAAGGATAATTCCATAAAGACAGTGTTTGTTGTACCTAACTGATTTTTTCTATGAGGGAGATGAAACTAAAGCTGCTGATTTTATTTTCTTCCTTGCCTCTGTGCTCTTTCTATGGCCCTTGCAGTACCTTTCTTTTAGCCTTTCCTGTAGTTGATGATTCCATCTATACCAGGATAATTCACAGTCATTGTAGAGGAAAATCTGGTATGCTTTTTGCAGGTTGTCCCTTTTGAAAATGTTAAGTCTGTCCTTTTAGATTGTACTTTTTCCTACAATCCTTTCCAATGAATCATACCAGATCCAGTTATAGACATGATTCTTCCATGTTTGCTAAAAATAAATACTAACTCTAAATTTTGGAATGAGATATTTGCTCTTTAAGAACCAGATCCAAAATCAGTGATAATTTTGTAGATGGGACCCCTAAATTAACATCCTTAGGTGAACAGTTTTTTTATTAGCCTTACTCTTCCACAATTTCTAACTTGACATTTTAAAATGATCCCTTAGCCAAATAGAAAAGTACTTCTGGTAAGTCAGCATATGGTAAAGAATATCCTAGAATCACTTCACAAATATGCCAGGCTTGTGTTCTGCAACTGTTAGGCAGGTTTTTTTCTCCTTCTGATTTTTTTTATGGGAAGAAAATCTGTTAATATGTGAAGATGCTGAAAGATAAATTAAAAATCCAGTGAATTGAACCAGTTCATCATCTTTCCTATACCTTTAGGACATCCACGTGTTAAATAAATTATTGGCATTAAAATTACTCAGTATGTTAATTTCAGGCCAGAGGAATTTCATTTGTATATGCCAGCTTTTTTATTTTTGTAGCAGTGCAGGTCATAGTGAAAGATTAACTTTCATCCTTGTGTGGATGTTTAATACTTGCTTTCTTGTGGTCAGTGAAAAAATATGGAGGTTTACCTTGTGAATTTTGTTCTTGTGTGTAAATTAATGAGCTGTTGTTGCTTCTAAATAATTTTATTCTATGGTCTTGGTAGTCACATGAATGAGTTTGTATTTTTCTGTGCTGGCCTCAGGATGCTCATAAGAATTATATGATCATTCTTGAGGGTGAAAATTTTAAATACAGAAGATGTATTTGAATTATTTCAAGAAGGAAGGGATCACATCGCTGAGAGCCAGAATATGCCAGCCATTTTGAGAGACAGAGAAACACATATACACACACACACGGCAGAAGTGGTTGAGTTTCATAAAGATCACAGTCTCTGTCATACTGGACACGTGCTTGACATGTGAATAGTAATCAGGAGTACTGCAGTAGCTCTGGGACTTATTATTCATTCCTCAGTTTAATTAGGATATTGTTTAATTTGTAAGTATCACTATGTCTGTTGGACTTCCCAGGTAATAGTGAGCTGTAGCCATGAATTGAAGATGTCTTAAAAGAAAGAAACGGGTGAGGATACCTGTCATTCTGATTTGTGTTTATTTGAGGTTTGAAATATTGAGAGCCAAAATTGGCTGAGAAAAACCTCTGATTTATGTTCCAAAAAGATTTGGACCATAATTTGAAATCCTTGGTTTGGGGAGGGGACAGGAGGGGTGAATACACAAAATGTGAGAAGATGTGTTTTCTCTATGGTTATATTAGCAGAAATCCCTCCTGTGTTTCAAAATGTGTTGTTGAATTACCTCATACCAGACAGCAATTTAACTGCACACCGTTATATATAGTAGCAGAAGATAGGCCAAACATTTGGGGGAAAAAATAAAAAATTCTTCACACAAATGGAAGCAGGCATGTGAGAAATAGCTGTGCAACACTATCAGTAAAAGACTCAAACCTTTTGGAATTGTCATCTATCAGTTTTCATGTATTAGGCAGACAAAGATTGCACATATTAAGTAATAGACATAATTTCAATATAGGGCCTGATCCATGCAAGTTTGTAGATTCTTTTCTATTCATAAAGGGGGAAGTGTGTGGCACAAAGTGTGATAATATTTTAAATTTTCTAATAACACAGTACAAGCATTAAATTCTCATAGTGGCTTTCTGAACTCCCATAAAGAAACTCTGTGCTTTATTGTAACTGAGGCGTAAAAAGCATAAAGAATTTTTCCAAGACAGGACAATTATGCTGGGATTATAACCAGTAATTTTAACAGACTAAAAGTGGCAGAATAAAATCTGATGGCTCAAATTTGACCACCCCTGGATGCCTGCCCCTCTGCTGACACATTTCTGCCCCCAAGGCAGAGATGTCTGATTCAGTTCTGAATTGATTCCAAAACCATTGCAGTTTTCAGCCAGTGTATTAAAGTCAGTTGGAATTAATATCTGTAAAGGTTAATAAACTTGGTTAAACATGGTGTGGATTCAGGAGTACACAGAACCAGATCAGATGTCCCTGCCTTGAAAGTGGCAATGGCCATCAGAGAGAAATCTGGGGAAGGTGAGAATAGAAACAGCTTCAACGCCTATGTTTTAATCTGATGCTGAATCTGAGCCCCTGTTCCCCACCCTTTGTCCAAGACCTTAGACCAGCTACTGAAAGTCGTGCTGGCAAACCAGTGTCTCAGTACAATGCATTCAGTGCATGCAAATCTCTCTGAAAAGTGCTCATCATCTGAGAGGAACCACCCACATCCTCTGGAGTAACTCATTAATAAATTTAAAGCTGTTGGGTTTTCTCTCCAGCTAGGCAGATTTGAGCTGAAACTTGGTGGTGAAAAAGAATGTATGTTTCAAATTAGATGAATGTATTAAGTGTAAAATAATCAGAATGGGATATACAGAATGGAAATATGTAAAATTCTGAATGAATTTTACAAGTGGCTTAAGACTCAGAGAATAAAACCCAAAGAATATTTTTAATTTATGTTTAACCTTCAGTCTCTGTGATTTAAGATCAGTGGACAAAAGACTTCCACAAAATGAAATCATCAAAAAAAGAGAAAAAGCAACAACATTCCCTTGTGTTCAACAGCCTTCTGCTCTGATTGCAGCAAGGACAGAATTGGTTCTTCACTTAGTTCTAGATGGGAATCTGTTCTTACCCCAAATGAAAGATAAAGTGCTTCTAGAGGCTTTTTCAGCTGCGATAACTTTGATTCTGAGGCATGGCCACTTGTGCTTTGATGATCAGAATGTGCAGTGTATCCCTGTGCATTGGGAGGTTATTCCACAGGGACTGGTGAACAGGATTCTTTCTCCTATCTTAATTAGCCCCAGGATCCTCAAGTTCTGACACAAGTTTTGATCTGAGGGAGTATAGGACTGAGCCATTTCTTGTGCTGAGGTACAGGTGGAAATCATAATGATTTGTGTATTTCCATAACTGGAATGCAGTACTCTTTTTAAGGGATTGATGTGTGGAGTCAAAACATCTTGTGTGTGCTCTTCTTGCTTACTCACATGTTTCTGGTGGCCTCATTCACTTAACCTTAATAATGTGAGCAGGATTTGATTCTGTGTTGCTTCTGTGTGTGATATATAATGTAAATGTGTGTTCTAGGGCTGAACTAACACAGCTGTGTTTTTAAAAGGAGCAGTGCATTGTTCATACATTCTTTGCTTATTGCTTATCAGGTTTACTAGAAAGCAGTACAAGGCTAAAACCTCATGAAGCTCAAAGCTACAGAAAGAAGGCATTGTGGGTTTCCTGGGTCTCCATTATTGTCACACTGGCTCTTGCAGTGGCTGCTTTCAGTGAGTATTGGGAATATTTTTAATCTTCACACTTCTTCCTTTTTTTGTTTTTCTTTTGGTCTCTCAGAATTTCTTTCTTTGTGGAAGCTTTCTCATTTTTTTTTTCTTTGCAACTGCTGAAGAGGTTTCTTTCTTTACTGCCTGTGTCTGCATGGTGCTTATAAATTAGTAAAGCTGTTGGTTTTTTTCTGCAGAGTATGGGGTTGTGGAAGGTCGGAGAAAGAAACAGGAGATGTTGATTCCTGCTAGCATTTATACTTGTGGAACTGTTCATTTTGGAGAATAGTGTAGAAATCATTATGCAGTAGGTTGCCTTTTACTGATGAGGTCAAATATGACAAGTCTTAATCTGTTTGGGTTTTGTAGTGGGAATGCTATAATAAAGAATAGCAAATTGTAAGAGAGAAATGTATAATTTATCTGTATTACACTAACAGATAATCTAAGACAATGCTAATCTGGAAGAGAATTTACATTTTCTTTTTAGACCAGTGTTTTTTTATAAGTTTCAAAACATTTTTCTACTTTACCATTAAACAAAGGATCTGAGTGGGGGAAAAAAATCCAAACTAAACCGAAAACACTTTTATATGGGAAAAAATGAAATTTATTTCTTTTATTTCAAAACAGGAAAAAATGCAACATTGTGTAAATACCAGTTTTAGTTCAATGCAAATTTGCAAAATACAAGCTTTCTATCTGAGGCAATTAAGTAAAACATTAAAGACAAAAAGAAACATGGAATGTGAAACAAAATCTTTGCAGTGGCACATTCTCTGTTTTAGAAAAGGAAAAATCAGAAGTGATTTAATTTATGCTTTAATACAAACAAAAGGAAGGTTCTGTCTAGGAGACATCAAAGAAGTCTCAAAACATCATTCTTAAGCTTGATAAAGACAGACTTGTATTATTTTTCCTTTTTTTTTTTTTTTTTTGAATCACAGCAGCATGTCTTTTGTTATTCTAATCTGCATTGTATGACCTGCTGCTGGAAGTTGGTGTCAGCTCCCAGGAGAGGTGATTAAAATCTGGCCAAATGGTCTCTGAAAACGCAACATACATTACTCAGAGCAATTTATATGGAAACACAGGTACAATAACTTGGTTCAGAAGCAAGAAAAAAGAGGAGGAACACTTAAAAGCAGAATCTGACACTGTAAAGAATTCGAATGTTAACAAGAGAGTGAAACAAGTTTCCATTTTGTTCTGCTTCATGGAAATACAGTGGTCTGTCTTTGCTACTGAAGCAACATAAAGGTAAATACTATGTTACAGAATAACCTTGTTTCCTACTAACCCTATAGTTTTAAGGAATATTGTGATATGGCTTAATTTAATTTTTCATTTGTCAGAGTTCAAGAATTAAGAGTAACATAGATAACTAAAACTGTGTCTGTTAAAAGGATCCTTAAAAACATCTTAAAAAGATTATTTAGGCTGAACTATTTTTCTTCTTTCCTTATTTTTGGCTCTCTGGTAGTGTTTAGAGAAACAAACAACAGCAAAGAATGTAGTCCTTGTCTGGATATACTGTGGCTGCATATTCAGCTGGAGGGGATAGGCACTGAACTACTGAAATCAGTAGCAGACTAATTACATGTTTTTGGAATGTATCTTCCCCCATGGTTTGCTAGGACTAAATTTAGGAAGAATAAAAGAGGAATCAGCACACAGATGCATATTAAATTTGTGTGGAATCTCTTAATAGGTAGTTGGCCGTGAACTTGCATGCTGCAAAAGCATTGCCAGGGCTTTTCATGTGTTTACTATTAAAAAATTTCAATCTTTGAGGAAAATACAGTGACTTCTGGGATCCCTTTGCTGTCCCCATGCAATTTCAGAAGTTCTGCTCATTTTACTACCTCGTCCTGGCTGCTCTCTTCCTCAGCACTGACCTTTTAGCAGGTTTCTCTGGCCAGTCCATGAGCTGGGACAGATGCCAGGTGACCAGAATTTGCTGCCTGTTTGATATAAATGTCTAGTTGTCACTTCGGGGTATCTGACAATCCTTTGCAAGCCACTGCTATTTAAAGCATCCTATTTCCATTTTACCTCCTGTCTGTAATGGTGAAGTGTTAGAAATACAGCCCTGATGTTCTATTTCAGTGGAAAAGGGGGACCTGTAGTGGTAATTGTTGGGCTACATTGACTATTCTCACTGCTCTTACTGATTCCCCTATAAATTCCTAATTTAAATTTCTTGTTTGTCCCCTTATAGGCTTCAAAATACTTTCATCCAAGTGTACCCCACATGACATAGTCAAGATACTAGGCCAGGGAACAGATGTTATTTGATAACTGTAGGAAAAATGCCAAAGGGAGTGATGCTCATGTGGAGAGTAGGGAAGAGGTTCAGGAGCCTCCTTTTCCAACCAAGTCTTTGTAAGTAGACTTCCTTTCCCTTTTTATGATCCACTCCCCATCCTTCCTTTCAAGGCTGGTCTAGTTGCCTCCAACAGTGTATTTTCCCAGCATTAGAGTAAGTTGGAATGGTTTATCTTGACTGGTATGAGGTGTTTTCTTTTGGTGGGATTATGATGCTGCCCTAGTTGAACTCTGATCTTTCACTTGGTAATTTTGAAGGAGACTGAAAAATCTCATGTTAATCTGAATAAAGTAGTTTCCCTGTTAGGTAATGCTTATGGCAAATGAGGCTTGAGATCATAGAAGTAGAATTTTAAGGTTGGAAAAGACCTCTAAGATCAGTGAGTCTGACTGTTAACCCAGCACTGCCACGTTCATGACTAAACAGTGTCCCTCAGTGCCACATTCATACATTTTTTGAACACTTCCAGAGATGATGATTCCACCACTTCCCTGTGCATCCTTTTCCAGTGTCTGACCACCCTTTCAGAGGAAGCTGAACTAGGCTAGGCTGGGTAGGGAGCAGAATGACTGCCTCAGAGAAAATGAAGTTGTCACCTTTCATTCACTAATATTGACTTAGGTCAGGACTTAAGCTTTTCCATGGCTCTGAGAGCTGCTGCAGATGTTGCTCTCCAGCATGAAACTGCACAAGGTTTCAGTAAAATCTCTATAGACTTCAATGTGTGAGATCCTTGAGGTCAGTGGAACCCCATGTATCATCTTTAGTGTCTGAAAATTTGGTGCTCTCAAAATATTCTGGCACTGTTGTTTTGTGCAATAATTTCATGACCAAATGCTAATCAATGCAAAATTTATTTTCCTCTTCAATTCAGTGCTTCCTGAAATATGCATGCTTGTAGAATTCTCATCAAGAGTGGATTTACTTTCTTATAAATATATAGCAATAAACAGAGTCTGAGCATGATAAAAGTTATTAAAATGAACATTAAATTATTCTTTAGCACCCCAAGTAAGTGCCAGAAGAATAACTCTAAGATAATTATTGCTGGATTACAGTAATATAAGAAAAGAATGATAACAGAGATAAGAATGATAGCAGAATATGATTTTTTTTTCAGTGTATATCTGTGTAGTATAAGGCTGCAGTCATTTCATAATAACAACTATTATTTCTTTCTGTAGCTGCAGTACTGTGTGTTCATACTGAGCCTAGTTTAAGAATCATAATAAAGAACAGGTAGAATGGAACTCCGGTGTTTTGAAACCCATTATTCTTAGTTTCTTGACATTTATGTTCCTAAAACATAATTTTGAAAAATATACAAATACAACTTCTGCTGTTGCAGTTCAGTTTCTGCTCAGGCAGATAATCTCTGATAATATTGTCAAAGCAGAAAACAAGCTCGTTCTGTCTGGTATTTTTTGTCCAGTGTTGACTTGTGATTCACAGAAAGCAGTGTGTTCATTCATCTTCCTGATCTGATTAGCCAAAATCATTCCACAGTGAATGGAGGAGTCCTATCAATACATCAAAACCATGTATAGACCAAATTCTGCACTGAAGGCTTTCTTTGTAGCCAGAGACTGAGAGAAGGTTTAGAATGCATGGGTTTGTAAATGTGAGCTTTGTGGAGGGCTGCAGCCAGCCTGTCCCAGCTTGGCCAGGGCAGGTCTGCATGGGCCCTGCTCCCTGGGAGGGTGGCAGGGGCTGTTTGCAGAGGGCTGGGAAACAGCAGGCAGCTGGGTGCTCACATCTGTCCCCAGGCCTGTCTGCAGATCCCCCCTTTCAGGTCACCACAGGCACAGGTAAGGTTCAGCTGTGCAGAAATAACTGAGGGCAGTAAAAAGTCACATCCTGGTAAGTGTTCAGTCTGGTGTAGTTAGAGGTGCTGGTATTTTGAGAAGGTGAATTCCATTTATCTGGATCAAATCTCGGGTGGAAACTCAGTAGGTAGAATTCTGTGAGTGGGAGTATTTTACAGGATTAGGCCCACAGATAAAATATTAAATGTAAGTGCAGGCACTGACGTTCTGATTTTATATAAAAAATTACTTGTGTTTTGGAATGACTTGCTGGAAAATGATTTATCATAGTGAGCTTCCACATACTGAGAGGCATTTTGTTTGAAATGTGTGGTGCAAACGCTTACAAATTTCAGTGTTATGTTTTGCTTTCAGATTAATGCTTTATGCTAATTCAGATTCTAAAGTTATAAATGCCAACAAACTTAGAAGTTGTGTATCCAGGCCCACTATTTTTTTCTGTGGAATGACTACACTGAGTCATAAAGTCTCATATGGGTTAGCTATAGGACATCACTACTGGTTTTCCTCTTCTCTGGTGCGTGCAAATGAAGTTGCATGGGACAAATATTGAGCAATTGAAGTTGTCCTCTGGATGCTCACATGTGGCCCTACTGATGTAATCTGTCACTCCTCATCTCAGACAACTGAGATGGAGAGTGGCTATATTAATGTATTGATGAATATATAATTTTCTCTGTGGCCCATTCCTATTCATGCTTGAAAAATTAAATATATGCAGGCTTTCCTTATGTTTGCACAATACTTAGTATACCCTGGGCACAGCTGTGAATCATAATAACACTGCTAATAAAAAATGCAGGGGAAGGTTCATGGCTCTGATGTCCTTTAGTTTGGATATTTAATTC